AAATGTCACTTTTATGTTTAATATCAGCAATATATTTTTTTTAAAATAAAAATTCAAAAACTGACCCTAACATATTTAGCACTAATATAAGCCGATGCGTGTCATTTGCTCAGTATCTATGATTACTTTTGATGTCATTATAACTAAATAAAAATTATTAGATTATCTATGAATCATTTTTTTATTTATTATTATTATTAACATCAATAATGTTATAACTTTTTATCAAAAAAAAAGTTATCAAGATGCAACTTAAAGTTATTTACTGATCCATTTTATCTAATAAATTAAATATTATAAATGAAATAAAAAGTTATTTGTTTATTTAATTGTAGAGCACTATTGTTTGTAATATTTAACTTAACATTATATATATTCTGTATATATATATATAAAAACTTGTGAGCAAAGAAAATGATAGATTCAAACTAAAGTTTGAATACATATAAAATTTTATTTAGTATATTTTGTTTACCATTTATTACGTCTAATAAATAGAGTGAAAAATTAGGTTTAAAAGTTATATCACATCATATATTAAATGTAAACAAATAATTATTATTGAAGTGTTTTTAAAAATAAGTCCGTAAACCACCGCTCGGCAAACTATCCTCTGACACTGGAACACCACCACTAAAAATGCCAGAGATAATTAAAATGACCAAGATACCTCCAACAACAGTTTATAGGGTCATCAATAAAATCGAATCGGGAAATGGGATCCAAAAGAAGCCAGAAACAGGAAGAGTGTCAAAATTCAACTCAAGTGACCGGCGAATGATCACACAATTGGCCATAAATCACGACCTCTGAAGATCCTCTGTTATTGCTACCGAAGAAGCGGAAGTCCTCTGGTGTACAGATGGACTGTTTAACAATCATTATTTAACAATGAAATTATTTATTTTTAATTTTTTTATTATTAAATTTAAGATAATTTAATTATCATTTTCTATGCTCCCATTATATACAATTTTTATTAAACATTTGTATACTAAGTAATTAAAAAAAATTAAGTTTAAATATTTAAATAAATTTTACTAATAAATTTTTTTATACATGATTAATATAATTAAGTATGATTATCAAATACTTTCTATAATTTTTTTTGTTAATTTAGTTTATATTAATTAAATTAAATATATAATTTTGTTAAAAATAATATTCATAATTTATTCTTAAATAATTTCATTTTTCTAAAAAAATCTAAAACGTTTTTTAAAAAATTCAATAAATATAAAACATTATGATTATTTTAAAAATTTTTTATAGCTATTAATTAAGAATATTAATTATATTAAATTTAATTTATAAAAACATTAAAGATTAAACTAATAATAAAATTAAATTATTGAACTATATACAGCAGGCGATATCACGATTATTATACGGTCCCTTACTTAAAAATATAATTACTGACCAAGATAAAAAACAAAAAAAATTATAATACACAAATTTAATAACCTTTTTTATATAATATTAAATAAAATATACCACTTAATTAAAATTAATATGTAACATTGTATTTGAGCTTGATGAAATATATTATAATAAACCATAAGCTTCGACAGTGAATTTTAATCAAAAGTAATCAGAAATCACTTGAATGATAACCAGTGATATACAGTATATAACATTTCAATGCATAAATATATGTAAGATATACATAACAAGTAGTTTAATGAAAAATGTACAATTATATATAACAATTAAGTTATCATAAGTAATATATTAAATATAAAACATACTAAATAAATGTTAAATATTATTTATTAGTCTGTTTTTATAGATAAATTAGTTTTTTAAAAAATAATATATTGACTTTGATAATAATAATAATCTATAGATAATTGACTTATGTTTTCGATTATTTTATTAAGTAAGTTATTATTATTATAGCTGTACAAAAATTTATGTATTAAATTTTTTATATAATGAAAATGTTATTTATATAAGTCAACTATCTATTAATCATTTAAAAAAATAAATATTATATAAGTTCAATAAGACTATTACAAGTATAATGTTGAAATATCAATATATAATTAATAATAATTTTTTTATAATTAGACATTTTATTTGTAGTGTTTATTTAGATTTTTTTGATAGAAATAAAATTATTATTTATAACTGAATAATATATTTAATAATGTATACAAATTTAATTTACATTAGATAGAATACAAAAAAAAATATTAAAAATGTATTTCGAAATAAAAAAACTTAATAGTCACAGTAAACTTGAAAAAATTTTGTTTCAAAATAATTTAATTATAAATGTTTTTTAATCAATAAATATAAAACATTATGATTATTAAAAAGAAATTTATAACTTTTAGTTAATAATGTTAATTAAATTATAACGGGACAAATATCATCAGCGCTCCTACTGTTACCAATCGCACATTACAAAGTCGATTTTATAATGTGCGATATAAAAACACATTTAAATTTATTAATTATATTTGTAATTAACTATATTTGATATTATTTTCTAATTTCGTATTAATTATATGTTTATTAATATTATGTTTTGTTGTTTAAAATTCATTATAATTTATTATTAATATTGTAAATATGTTTAAGTTAATAATTATTATGCTTAATAGCTGTAACTAGCAATACATGTAATCTGCTAACTATCTCATTATAAATTATCAATAAATTGGTGATAATATACATGATTTATATGATTACAGTATGATTAACAAATACAGTCTATATTTTTTGTTAATTTAGTTTATATTTATTAATTTTAAATATATTATTTTCTAAGAAATCAAACGTTTTTAAAAAATAGATTTAAAAACTATTGTATTTTTTTTCTTAAAGTTATTGCTGGCAAACATTGGCAACTCTACAAAGCAATATAATTTAAAATATATTATTTTTAAAAAATCATATAAATATCGCGATAATTTCAATTGAAAATAATAATCAACAATAGCTACTGTTTAGTATATTTACTAATAAGTATTTATTAAGTATTTTTTAACTTTTAGAAAGTAAATTTTTTTCATTATTTATATTAAATATTAGTTTTATTTAATAAACATTTTATTTATTATTTTATTTTATAGATTTTACAACATCAACAACATAATACAATGCATTTAAAATCATTAATTTCATTGACTATTATTGTGTCCGTAATGACCATTAGTTTTGGTGGCAATCAATGCGATGCTATCACTGGTGAAGCACTTTGAAAAAATATGCGGTAAAATCCATAAAACAATTTTTTTTATATTTATTTTGTTATTAAATTATTTTTGTTAATTAATATTAAATTTTTTTTTAAAAATTCAATTATATATTAGGTTTAGTTCATTGTAAACGAAAAATTCGTGAAGTAAAATCATGTGTTAGTGATTTTAAACTTCCTCAACAAGATTTGAATTTTATTGATTTTGCAACTTATAAGGTATGGAGTGAAACAAATGTCCATTTATGCCAAAAAAGCTTTACTGGAAATCTAATAGATTTAGCTAATAGACTACCATTAGATAAAATAGCTAAATGTATAAAATGTTAATCAACTTTACGAAAAAATTGTTAAGATTATTAAAAATAAGACATTATAAACAATTATTATAAATTAATTTGTAATAAAAATTTATTTAATTCTTAATAATAATAAAAAATTAAAAATATAAAACATACTTATATTGATTTAATTACTATTAGTTAATATTAATAGTTATATAAAATATAAATAAATTTAATAATTTATTATTTTTTTTTTAAATAAATATTTATTTAACAAACTTCATATTATATAAAATGTTTATTAAACATTTATATTAAAACTATTTTAAAACATTTAATTTAAAATATTTAATTATTAAAATATTTTTAAAATACTGAATAATTAGAAAGCATAATTAAATAAATTTTAAATTATAATTTAGCTTATAATAATAATTAATATTATTAATTAATTATCTTATTTTATAATTTATTAGCTATTTTGTTTGTCTATATAAAAATAAATTATTAGATTTATTTATATTTTATAAATAACTAATATTATTAACTAATAATAATTAAGTAAAAACAAAAATGTTTTATATTTTTAAAAAATGGGTAAAAAAATGTTTTAAATGCATTTTTTTTTTAAAAATATTTTATAATTAATAATTAATTAAATTTTTTATTCTAAAATTAATTCAAACTAATTGTTTTTTAACTGTCTATAAATTTATTCATGATTAATAATCTACAAATTTTTCTTAATTTTGATTAACATTTTACACAATCGGCTAATTCATCAAACGGTAGTGATTGAGAAAATTTCATAACTTGTATGAGTAGTTTTTGGCATTTATCAAAATTAGTTATTATTTGCAACATATTAAATACATTGTCAAAAAAAATTGAACACCATTTATAGGCAGATTTAAACCAGTTATACATGATTTTACTTTATGAAATTTATTTCGACAATTAATTAAACCTATAATATAGAATTAAATTATAAAAATTTAATATTCATTAAAACTAATCATTAAGTTTAATAATTAACAAAAATAATTATTTCAAAAAAAATTGTTTTATTTATTTTACCGCATAATTTTCCAACTAATTCTTCACCAGTAATAGCATTGCATTGATTTCCACCAAAACTAACGGTCATTACGACCACAATAATAGTCAATGATATGAATGATATTAAATGCATTTTATTTGTTGTTGATATTGTTTATACATAAAATTACTGAAAATAATAATAATATTGTTTAAAATATTGCATCTAATATAATACTTTAAATGTTAAATCTGTATTTATAAATGTTTAGATTTTTTAAAATTCAAAAATTTAATAATAGAATTATGGATAGTATTTTTTAATAAAATAATAAATAAACAAAAGATAAACATATATTTTAGTTGATTAATATTAACTAAATTATTTGAAAATAGTTTTATTAGTCTAAAATTAAAAAAAAAATTACATCTCAATGTAAAAATCAACAATTATAAGCAATTGTATTATAATATATATATATATATATCAATTATTTTTTTTTTGTTTTAACAGTTAACCAAACATCTGTCAATTTTATACAACTTTTGTTTGCCCGGCGGCGACAATAGTGATGCCATTACTGGACACTTGTTTACTCTTTTGAAACAGCCATCAGGTGTGGCACTGGTAGACACATTGCCTGCTATTGTCATTATACTGTTGACAGCATCTATAGTATATGGTTTTAGTCTCAGACGGGACACACATTTACGGACTTTCGGTATTTTTGTTGTACAATCGGTTAAATCTATTGTAGTGTATGTTATAGTTATAAAAATTATTAAAAATAATTACAAACTAATAGATTGAGATTAATATCTATAAATACATAGATTATAAAATTTATATAAAATTTATATTAAATTATTTACCGCATAATTTTTGAATAACAGTCTCACTAGTGATAGGATCGCATTGATTGACCGTAAAACTGATGGCCATTACGACCACAACAATAGACAATGAGATCAACGATATTGAATGCATTATTAATTTTTGGTATAAATTTTATGAAAATCAATTTATTTAATTTAATTTATCTGTAAAAAAAATTAATAAATACTTTTAGCTATTAAGCTAATAGTATTTTTACAAATAATTATTGCTAAATTTATATTTATTATAATTTATTTTTTTAGTAGTAAACATAATTTTTTTTATAAATTGCAATAATTCAAACTTATTTGCAAAATCGATAATTTTTTATATGTAAAAAATATCTTAAATTTAGCATTTTTTCATAATTAAGTAAAACATTTATTTTAACAGATAAAATTATGCAGACTTTAATAATATTTTTACGAAAGTTATAATAAAATTATTAATAGAATATATAATTTTTTTCAGTATATTTATAAATATTTTCTAATTATATATAATCTGTTTAATACTTCTATATTATCTAATTTATGTGGAAAAATTTGATCATCAATAATATTTTTTCTTATATCAAATTTATTATCAATTAATATCATATAAAATAAAAATTAACATTTTTTTTCTTGTTTTTAAGTAAGCAAAAAAAATAATTGATATAAAAATTTTTATAAAAATAATTTCTTTTAATAATTATTAAAAGATAAATTATATTTATTAAAAAATAATAATATCAGTTATTTATAATATATTTAGAAAAAACACTTATTATAATATTATTATAAAAAAATATCTTAAAACTATTAGATATTTGATTTAGATTATAGTATAATGTTATTTAACATAAAAATTATAATAATATAATATTATTATAATTTTTATTTGTTATTATATATAATAATAATAATACAGTTAGTCTTATTTAGATGTCCTAACATTGAACAACACAACTGGCTATTTGGGATAACTTGTGTTTGTTGGGCGGCATTAGGGCCGACATAACCGGACAGTTGAGTATACTATCATAACATTCATCAGCCGTGGCATAACTGGACTGATTGGCGACAACTTTCATAATTTCATTGATAGTATCGATGGTAAATGCACTCAATTTGATTTTATCCATACATTTCTTAATATCTGATATTTTTGTTGGACATTCAGCTAAATCTATATATATATATATATATAAATAAATATTAATAATAAATTAATTAATTAGTTACTTATTTAATAAAGATTAGTAATACATATTATATTATTTAAACAAATTTTTTTATATTTAATTAATTAAGTGATTGATTAAATTAATGATATTAAATGCATTGTATTTGTTGTCGTTGTTATTGTTTATCTATAAAATTATTGAAAAAATAAATAATTATTATTAAAAATTTAGTATTTAATATAAACAATATAATTATTTACTTTCTAAAAGTTTAAAATACTTGATAAATACTTTTTTTTAAGTAATTTTATTAAAATAGTTAGTGTTGTTAATTTACAATAAAACTGTTGCGGTATTTATATGATTTTTCAGATTTTTAATTGACATTGATTTGTAGAGTTGCCATTTAAAGAATAACTTTAAGAAAAAATACTTTAAATGTTAAATCTGTATTTATAAATGTTTAGATTTTTAAAAATTCAAAAATTTAATAATAAAATTATGGATAGTATTTTTAACAAAACTATAATTAAAAAAAAGATAATATATTTTTAATTAATTAATATAAACTAAATTATCCAAAATTACAGTTTGTAATTGTTAATCATATTTATTGTGATTATCATTACAAATGTTTAAAAATTTATTATCAAAATTATAATTATCATTCTAATGACATTTTATAGTCATTTTTTTAAAACTATGACTTTTAAGTTTAGTATTTTTTTAGTATTCTATCTATCGATAAATAAATTTTAAAATTTAATTTAGTTTATTATTAATTAATTGTGTAATTAAACAATTTCTAAACTGTTTTTTTCTGTATGTTTGTATTTTAATATTTTTTAACACAATTAGCTATTTTGTTAATTTTTATCAAACAAATACCCAACAATTTATTATCGAATAAAATAAATATATCTATAGATAATAAATGTTTTTTATTAGTTAATCATATTTAAAATTATCTATCATTGCATATGTATGAAAATTTATGTGTAAAATTGTAACTATCATTTTAATGACAGTTTATATTGATTTAACTATGTTTAATTTTTTTTTGTTAAGTTTACTATGACTATAACATTTTGAAATAAATATATTTAAAAAATTACAACAAAAAATATATTAACACTTTTATTAATATATATATATATATTGTAATAATTTTTAATTTTTAAAATAATAATTGTGGGTATTATTAAAATATTATGCAGTATATATATATTTCAAAACATTTAGTATTTATTAAATTTATTAATCTTATTTTAACTGATATTTATAAACTGTTTTACTTAAAAAATATTGTTTACATTATTTTCTAATGTATAGAAAACAAGTTAATAATAATAATAAGTTAGTCAAATAATAATTAGAAAATAAATTAATGAAAAAAATATATTTGAATTTTAATAATTGATAAAAAATAATAATTAATATTATTTTTCAATTATTTACTAAATAAGTTTTAGAAACAATAATTAACTAAAAAAAACAATTTATATATAAACAATAAAAATACTTATGATTTTTATTAAATTGTATTTTATTAAAAATTAAAAGTTTTAATCATTTTTTTGAATAAATAATTAAATTCAAAAAAAAAACAAAATTTACATTTATCTATATATATAAAATTAAAATCTGTAAAATTATTTATTATTAGTTTTAACATGTAACTAAACATTTGTATATTTTATCCAAATGTATTGGATATATTTCATCGATTTTAAGATAGGGTTTAGCAAAATGTTCTGCAATATGATTACAACTATTGGATTTATAGCGGATTAACAATTGATTGAACGTATCCACCACTTGTTGTCTTAGTTTAAGACCGGTCACACATTTTTTTATTTCAACAATTTTTTGTTTAGCATCTTTTTCTGGACATTTTTTTAGATCTATTTTTTAAATAAATAAGCATAAAAAATAATTACTAAATAAATAATTAATTTCTAGTAATAGCAATTAGTAATATTATTCTATATATTTTTATTATATGTTTATACTGTATGTGTCTATAATATGTTAATCATATAATAATTAAAAATAAATATTATTATTACCACAAAGTTTTTCAGCAAATTGTTGAGGTTTAATACAATTGCATGCCTGGCATTGATTGATAGCTGATATTATGGTTATTACGGCCACAACAATAGTCAATCTGATCAATGAATTTAATTTCATTGTTTTTGTTGATCTAATGAAAATAATTTAGAAAATAAATTATATTATTAATAATTTAAACAATTTTTCAACAAAAAAAACATTATACATTATTGAAAATATTTTGATTGTTTTTTTTTAAAATATATGTTGTTAGATATATTAACTATGTTTATATAAATATATATTTCATATAAAAAATATCGCAATATTTATAGGATTTTTATACTGTCAGTAAAATAGTTTTCATATAATTGCCAATTGAACAGTAATATCATGGAAAATAAATTTTATTAAAAAAACAACTGATTTATTTAAATTTTTTATAGTAAAAAATAATAATAATAAAATAAAAATATGATATTAGATTTTAATTAATACTAATTTAAAAATTACCATTTATTAACTTTAGACAAATAACTGGTATATAAAAATATTTTTACTGTTTATTCTATTAATTAATTTATTGTTATTGTTTGTAAAATTTATGCAAAAATATTTATTTATTGCTTAGTGATTGATAAGTGTTTTCAACCAAAAATATGATTTATTTATGTAATTTATAAAACTTTAATATATCTAAATCATTTTTTTCTAAGTTCAATATGTCTATTAACTATAGTAACTAAATATAATTAATTAATTAATTAATTATAATATGTTGAAATATAATATATTATTATTTTTTATAAATAGATTTTTATTACATACATTTTATTAATAATATAGTTTTTAAATTCAATTAAATCTTATAACTACTTATATTATAATAGTTTTTATTTAAGTAAAAATCAAATAAGTTTTAGTTACATTAAAATTTTTTATTTACATATATTAAACTATATTTTTTATAATTTATATATTTGAATCTAAAATACTGTACTTTAGTATAAAAAAATTTTAATATTACTTTTTTACTTTAATTTAATTTATTTATTTTTTTGTATAATTCATAAATAAAAAAAATGTATTTTCTATACTTAAATATTATAAGTATATTTTAGCATTAATAATTTATCAGAAATATAACAGCATAAAATAAATCAATAATAAGTAAAAATTACTAATAATATTATAATGATAAAAATTTTTTATACCAATGTATAAAATTTTTAATTAATTAAAAAATTGTTAAACTTGGAAATAATTTTTTATTATTAATTTAGTAAATTAAAAAAATATATACATAATTCCATGTATTATAGTTAGCATAAACTTAAAATTATATATAATATTAATTAATATATATTTTTTATATAAAAACAAAACTAGAATTTTTATATACTGTTTATTATTATAACATTTTTATATATTTTATTTAATTGATAATTAAAGTTAGCTAGTAAACATTAATTATATTTGCATGAAAACAAACAATTATCAATTTCATTGACAGGTATAGGTGGTCGTCCTACTTCCGGTACATAGGGTCCGGCAATGTGTCCGACAACGTGTTGGCACCGATCCATATGTAAACTACTACTAAGCAATTGATTAACAAATTGATTGATTTCAGGTTTCAAATGTAGATCAGCAATACATTGACGAACTAATGGTAACTTTTGTTTACAATTTTTATAATCTAATATATTAATCAAAATAAAATTAAACAATAAATTTTTCTAATTAATTAATTAAATAATTAAAAATAATTTTATTAATACCACAAAATTTATGGGCAAATTCAGCTGGACTTATACAATCGCAACCCTGGTTTTGACTGACAGCAATAGTCATGTTAATTAAAGCCATAATAACTATTACAACAATAGTAGTAGTAGTAGTAGTAGTCATAGATATGATTGAATGCATTGTAATCTATAATAAAATTAATATTATAATTAATTATTTTAAAATTTTTATACTT